AGGTGGATTTTTCCCCTTGACCCTCCTGGCAGGGGTAGATATGCACGCTGTGTCCAGGTATAAATCTGTTTGAGGGACCCCCAAACGCCAGGTGATGAAGGTAGCAGTAGTTCTGTGCTGCGGGTGAGAGGGATGGCATGGTGGGGAGTGGAGTGAGTTCACCAGCAGGCCTGCAGTCAGTTATGGGTGTGACAGCTCTGGCCAAAAGCTGCAAAACACACACAGCCTGAGTTTTTCCAAAACAGCCTCCAAGACTTATGCAGAGCTCTCCCTCTTCACCCCCAGGTTCTTCCCCTCTGTCCCACACATTGTTACATCTCTCAGTGGGCAGGTTTGATTCTTGCTGCCAGTTGCTCATTCTCCCAGAAGAGGAACTACACAGTCAAGAAATAGACCACTTTTCTCCCCAGCTGAATTTTACTAACAGAGAGAGCTGCAATGACACTTCATGTGAAAGCTGCAGGATGTGTGTGATCTAACTGTGTATTCACAGCAGCTTCTGACCTCAACTGCTTTCAGCTGTGCTGGCCGAGATCTGTGTGGGGCATCTTCCATCTCTGGCTGCATGTCTAGAGGAGAATTATAGCCAGCTGCTTTTCCAAATGCATTACTTCTGCACCTGGTTAGAAAAACATGTGTCTATCAACTATTACTTCAAAAAATATTTTGTGTGTCTGCAGCTTATAAACACATCTTTACCTTGGCAGGATTTGGCTTCCTTACACTCCAGCACTGCAAGGCTCCACCCAGATTTGCCAGCTTCTAAGGTTTTGCAAGGACTTGCTCAGCAGTGTCTTCTCTAGGAGCATGCTGTAGGCATCAATCCAAGCTGCACAGTAAAGGGGTTGCTGCATGAGGAAGCTGTCTTTCAAGGACTCTCAAACACAGGGTTAAAAGGGCAGGAAATAGCAAACCAGTCTGGAGTCAAGACAGCACACCACAAGGCTGAAAGATTCTCATTCTCCTCACCACCAAATCTCTGTAGAGAGTTACTGTATTATTTAACCAGCGCTTTCCACAAGTGCTCTAAGCATCATCCACTGCCATCAGAGTGAGTGGAAAAGCTCCTCTGTCTCATAAGCAAGCTGTGGTCAGTCCAGCCATGAGCATATGGTGAGCCCCATGTAGGTTTCTATGGAATTTAATGCCTCTGTTGGCAGAGCAGTGCCTGAGCAGTGCATGGATGGTGAAGGGTGGAGAGCAGCACAAAAGGTGCCTGCTGCTCCTATAGGCTGATACTCCCCAGCCCCAAAAGCTTATAGGTAGCCCCAAAGGTGGCCACACAGGCCAGAGCAACCTGGCCTTATGCTGGTCCCTCTTCCTGTGGCCTCAGATAGAGCTGGGGGTTGTCTAAAGTAAAAGGAAAAAAGTAACTCATGAGCAGAAGCTAATGCATGCTCAGAGAGAGGCAGACTGCAACTGCCCAGATGATCTTAGTGGAAATAACTGATAATTGCTGCAACTTAATTGACAAGTAGCTGGAGCCAATTCACAACTAAATATTTAACTTTGCACCTTTGGTTTGAAAATTCTATTTTTTTTTTTCCTCCCATATATGCCTACATGAATGGATATCTTTCCTAGCAGAGTGTGAGTGTTGACATGCTTATAACAAACAGCTTCCTCTAGAGCAAGCCCCAGGAAGGCTCACTGCTCTGCAGGTGTTTCCGTGTCTGGCTGCTAGCTTGCATCCCCAGTGCTCAGCTCCATGCTCTTCTCCCAAGAAAATCTCTCTCTCACTCCTCTCAACACTGTGTAAATCTTGGCACTGCTTATCAATAAGTTCCTGGGGTTTTGCTCTGGTCACACAAGAGCTGTAATTTGCCCCTAGACAGCAGAAAATTAGGGACTAGTAAGTGCAAAAACATTCATTGTAGAACAGGGATTTTTTTGTTGGCAGAGGTGTAAAAACACTGTTTAACACTCACCCACCCTGCAGGTTCCATCCAGCCATCCCTCGGTGCTGCCACTTCTACAACTGTGAACAAAATGTTAACACTGCACAATTCTGTAACAGGCTTCTAAAAATCAAGGAGCTGAAGGGATCTGCTTTTCTGCTTTTGAAAATCACAGAGGGATGCCATCACAGCCCTGTTTCTACACACAACACAAGCTCTGGGAGAAGAGCGTATCCAACTAGGCATGGCTCTGTCACCTCCTTGTTGGAGGTGCTGCTCCTTGCAGGGGAGCTCCAGCAGCCAATGAAATGGGAATCAAGCTCATGAGATGGCCAGTGGCTGGACACACTCTTCTCCCAGAGCTTGTGTTGTGTGTAGAAACAGGGGCTCCTGCCACCCTGCGATGACATCCCTCTGTAATTTTCAGGAGCAGAAAAGCAGATACCTTCATTATATATATGGTACTCCTGTCCACAACTATGCCTTTACATTAAAAACTGACCTGGGAAGGTGGAGCACCTAAAGCTTCAGCAGTCCTGGCGGTGATGCTTTAACAGAGATTTTTTGTACCCGTTGATGAGGCTTGATAAGGTAACCCACACTGATGACACTGACTCCACCAATTTGTCCACGATGTTTTTTGATACAGTACAATATCAGCAGTTAACTAGCCAACGCAGAGCAGCGTGCAAGACCTGACTACCTAATCCTTAAAACAGAGAAACCATAGACATTTCTTCCATGTAAATACTCTGGTTGTTACAGTTTAAACATGTCCTTAAGCAGTTTTCCTGCCTCTGCTTGCATTACTCCCTGAGAGGTGCCATCCTGCCGGCCCATCAGCTGGCTGAGGGTGGGACAAGGTTGATGAGCTGCTCCTTTTCCTCCAAAGGACCAAGACCATCCTCTCCGTCCAGCACACTGCTGGGACTGGCAAGCACAAGATGCCTAGGGAGTATCTCTTCCCAGCACTGAAAGAATTACTGAGTCCCCCCCATGTTGTAAACTCCCAAGCAGTGCAGGCAGCTTCATGCATGGCACAAAAAAGAGGAGGAATGATGGCCTTTTGCAAGAAATTCATCTTTATTGAAGCAACCATGAGTCACATGAGCTACCACCTGGCCTGAGGAATAACAATAGCAGTAGCCTGACAGCAGCAGCTGGAGCTCACAAAGGAGATGGTCTCTTTCCAGAGATCAATATATGTGATGATACATATACATGTGTAAGTGAATACTTCCCCACTAGAAAGTGCATAAGCTGGGAAGTACATATCGTACCCAATTTCCTGCCAGACTGAAGTGTGTTGGTGACTGCCAGGAGGTAGCTTGAATATACACTGGGCCAGTTTGAACTTCATCCTGCTTCCAGTGAAGTCAACAGTGAAGCTCTGCTGGTTCCAAGGGTGTGGAATGAGAAGTGACAGCCTCCCTCAGCCCTGCACAACACAACTCTTTCCAATGCAAGGTATTTGCAGCCCAGGTTAAAATGCCAGCCAGGTGCTGTAGGCCATACTGCTGTTCTTGTGCATGCAAAAGCCCCTGCCAGAGGGCCAGGACTTGTCCTGAATATCAGCACAGGGTTTTCCATGTTCATCTCAGTAAACAATTGCTACTTACAATTTTTCATGCCTAAAACCACTATGTACAAGAGAAGTGAAAGCTGTTGCTGGCTCAAAAGACATTTCACACAGCTGTATAACTTACAGCTACATATATTGCAATGATGGGTTTCAGCTCAGAAGCTGCTCTGCCTCCTCAACATGAGGACATAGCATGCCAGGGAGCTGTTGTTTCAGCTAGACTGACAGCCTTTTACAAATTCTGTTTATTATTGATAAAGTGATGTAAAAAGGACGTGGAGTTGGACATTGTATTGTTTGACCTGGCTGGAGATCAGTCCTGTTCTCTTATAGATTTAAACTTCTGTTTGTATGTGTAATATCAAAGTCCTTTTACCACAAGAGCACAGTGGGCTAGCAAAGCCTGATAAACATAGCGCTGGGGCCGGAAGTTACAGAATCACAGAATCAGCCAGGTTGGAGATCACCAAGTTCAACCTATGATCTAACACCACCTTATCAACTAAACCATGCCACTGAGTGTCATGTCCAGTCTTTTTTTGAACACCTCCAGGGATGGTGACTCCACCACCTCTCCCTGGGCAGCCCATTCCAATGCTCAATCCCTTCTTCTGTGAACAATTTTTCTCTAATGTCTAGCCTAAACTTCCCCTGGCACAGCTTAAGACTGTGTCCTCTCATCCTGTCACTGGTTGCCTGGGAGAAAAGACCAACCACCACCTGGCTACACCGTCCTTTCAGGCAGTTGTGGAGAGTGATAAGGTCACCCTGAGACTCCTTTTTTCCAGGCTAAATAACACTGGCTTCCTCAGCCACTCTTCACAGAGCTTGTGCTCCAGACCTCTCACCAGCTTTCTGGCCCTTCTCTGAATATGTTTGAGCATCTCAACATCCTTCCTAAACTGAGGGGCCCAGAATTAGACACAGGTGTGGCTTAACAAGCCCATGTGAAATCAGCATGGGATGAAGATTTAGGAGGCTGACTAAATCCTAAGAATTTAAAAAAAAAAAAAAAATTGTGTTGCATTAGCAAGGAGGAATAACAGAAATATGTCCTTCTGTTGGTCAGTTGTTTCAAAGCTCATTCACTACTTTCTGACTTTTTGTCCTGATCTCCACCAAAAGTTCTATAAATTTGGCAACACTTGAAAATGGGAAAACTAGCTGACAGTCATTGGATGCCTATGTAGCATCCAGCATGATCAGAAACATGCCCAAAGTTAATCATTGCAAGTGTCCAGGCTGGGAGAGCACATTTCCCATTAGTGGTGACACACTTCTGTCATTTATTTACTGATAGTGCAACATTGATCCTGGGCTGTGATTCAAAGCCATCTTCCTAGAAACATTGCATCTTTGGGGATCACAGGGAACAGCTCAGATGACAGCACAAGAGAAGTTTGTTTTAATGCTGTGATTTTTGCTGGGCTTTTCTCTCCATTTGGTTGTAAAGAACTCCTTGTGTCCTTGTGGAGCCACAGCCCGTACTTCTCCCATCGAGGGAATCTGCATCTCTGAGCCCAGTTGTAGTGCAGGACAGGGAAATGTATGACACATATCCCACCACCTGACCCCACGCAATACCTTCCCAGGGCATTTTGTGGGTGACTTCAGACATCTTCCTGTGCCAAGAGCTGGCTCTGCCTGGTAGGGATGCCCAGGCATCAGGTTTCTACCTCTCTCGCAGGATGTATTTGCCTTTCCGGTACAGGTTGCTGCTGAAGTGGATGGAGAACCAGAGGAATGAAGTTAGGAACATCCCATAAACCTAAAAGGAAATAAATGAGATGGGCATACAATTAAGTGTATAACTGATTATGATGCTCCCTCTCTGCAAATAAGCAATCATAAATATTGCCTGTCATCACAGTTTGCTGAGCAGAGCTGGTTTTCAGTGAAGTGCTGAACACCATTTCTAACATGGAAGTTTTTAAAAAAAATCAACACATGGTTAAAACATCTCATTGGAGTTAGCATAACACAGCTCAAACCTGGCCCTAAAAATATCAAGAAATAAGATGAAACCAGGAAATTCAGATTTAATTCCTGCCACAGAACATTCCTCTATGCAAACAAACATACCTCTTATAATAGTAGCCTTTTTGTAAAGATACCATAGGGAGAAAAAACCACAACACCCATGTCTTGTTTGAAGAAAAAACCCCAACAAAACAAACAAACAGACAAACGCCTAAACCAACCCCAAACAGTTATGAATGCAGAGGACAGTGTACTTCCTCTGTATTGTGATACTCTGCCTAGTGTATCACACATCAGGATTAACACAGGCAACATATCCAAGGTAAGGCTGCTGTGGGAAGGATAATGAGGGCTGTAACAATGTACTCTTTCTTCAAGTATGCCCTAATGTGCTAATGCCTTTGCTTGCAGCTTGATCTGGGGATGTGTGTGCATTGTTGGCCGAGGGACAGTGACATCAGAGCAGCTACAGCCCTCTTTATGTGCTTCCCTTGCATCCTGCCATCACAATAGCGAACGGCACGGCAAGATTTCCTCCAGCACAGGCTTCAAAGACAGCTGCCTTATCTGGCTATAGCATCAAGCTGTGAAAAAAGTGTATCTGTTATAAAAGTGCTCCAGCTTTTATCTGAATATAGCTGCAGTGAAATTCTCCTTATACTTGAGAAAAATTGGAGACACCAAATATTCACACATTACTTTACATTTACAGCTCCATAGCAATACCTGAATGTTTTCCTACTTTACTGCTATAAAATACAAATTGTTTGTTCCTCTGGGTTTTATTTAAATGGAGAAGACTCTTCTAATCCATAAATGTGCCAAGGAGGCCACAAGGCATAAAACAATCTCCAAATACACTTTCAATCAAGAAAGGTCATCACAGCTGGGGAGCAGCATGGAGATATCACATCATGGTGATACCATGCCTTCATGGTGGAGAAAGGAGTCTCCTGGCACATGCTCTTTTCTGGTGTGCATCATCACACGTTCAGAGTCCTTGTGTACAGGTAATTACAGTGATACACCTCTGCCAAGCAGTGAGTGGGCAAACAAGAAGGCTGGTTTTAACTAGTGGCCTGCTCCAGCTCCAAAGAGACCGTCCCCATACAGCCCCAGAGCCCCCTCACCACTGAAAGACATGCTTCTCTTGCAGCATTTAATCTTCTCTTTTGTTCTCCCCAAAATTAACTGCAGAGCCTTTCTACATGAGCCATCATCTGAAGATGATTTCACCTCTCCTCTGTATGTTACTCCTTCAAAGACAGAACCTGGGAGCCCAGACAACACACTCTTTCGCTCTCCTTTGCAGCCTGCTCCTTATGAGCCTGTGATTTACCCACACATTGCCCAAGATGAACCTCATCAGATTCATATAGTGATCATTAATAGGATGAGACCTTCCCCTTCTGCACAGCTCTCTAGCTCCACTGCTGGTGCTCAGTAGCTTTCAAGACCTTCCAGCTTGCTGCACAAGCAACTTCCCAGGCTGATCTAGGAGCTGGCAAGTTTTCTAAAATATGAAGGGTTTACTGCATCTCCTTTTCTGCCATTGCTGCTGGCTTCCTACCTAATCCACAAGGCCCCAGCGAGGTGACATGGCCTCTCACTCACAGGAGAAGTCATGCAGGCAAGCCTGAGTGGATGAAATGCAACTGCTGCTGCATCCTGCTCCCCACTCCCAAATGCCATGCCTTGTTAGGGCACAAAAACCATCTAGCAAGCATCTTCCTGCAGGAAAACCCCTCCACCTATCAGCCTGGCTGGATTACTGACCCTTTCCCAATTTCCACAGTGGAGTCCACCATTGCTTGTTTCTCTGCTGCCAGCATCCAAAATCACTCAAAATTCTAGCTTCTGGGGGCTAATTCAGGATACTGGATCCAGCCTTTTGGGGCCAAAATGTGAAAGGACAGACACTGTTACCGTGAAGCCAATGGCGACGCCCAGGAGCGAGAAGACAAAGTCCATGTGCTTCTTCAGAAAGTCCTGGATCTCTCGCAGGCAGTCCTGGGAAGAGAGAAACAAATACCCCTTGCAACACAGCAGCAGCTTGGTGGGGGGCTTTATCCCCACAACAGCACTTCCACAGCCTCAGAGAGAAAAGGAGGCAAGAAAGGGGTGCAGCATTGCACAGCTGGGCAGTTCTCCCTTCTTATGCTGCTGCAGCTTGGGAAGACAAACATCTGTGATATCTTTTCTGTTACTACAACACGCCTACAATTTTATTGCTGTGATGCATTTTGGACTGTGGAGGATGTGTGCTTAAGTGTGGTCAAGCAAAAGCTTTTTTTCTTTTCACCCACTGAAAAATTGAAAGAAGGAAGTGGAAAGATAGAACAGCAGAGCACAGTGTGATGCCAAATGCATTCCCCAAGGTTACTAATGAACAGCTTGATTTTGCGAGGTGCTGCAAGCATTAATATACATTAGCTTTAAGCATACCAATGGCCTCACAGAAATCCCCGAGGTGTTAGCCAAGACAGCCATTTCAGAAATGCAAGAGCATGCCCTCGATAAAGGGGTTTGCAGAACAAGGAAAGAGCATTCAAAGCCAGGAGCGAACGTGGTGTGGCCACCAACCTCTGTGGTTTCCTGTGTTACATAAAGCACATCCTCCCATCACTTCCCCGGCTCCCAAGCGAGGGAAACACACCACTAAGTGGGAGGAATGAGTCGTCCATACGGTGCCCAGCTTTGTTCTGCTCTCCCTTCCTGCTCTTTGAGCCGAGTTCCACCCTGCCCTGGGATGTGACATTCCTCGAGGATGTGCTTTGAAACGCTGCCCCTGCGGGCTGACGTGCGCCTGTGCATCACGGTTGCTGCTAGCGCTTGACATCTTCACCTGACAACTTGTTTGTATCGCTTCAGCGGTGTGGTTTTGTTTTTTCCTAGAAATACCAAATATTGATGCTGGTGGCTTTAGCAACTCTGGTGAAAGAAACATCATCGTTCAATAGATATGCTCAGAGAGTATGAAGTTGTAGCTTCAATGCACAACAGTCTAATACTGGTGGCTTCTCCAGCAGCCTCACTGAGATACCTGACAGAGCCAGAATGAAGCGTACTGGAGGAAGCTACTGCTGGGCATCACAGCCTGCTTCATGAGCTTCTCATTTTAATACCTATTTAATGCCCTGGAGAAAAAGTAATTACATCAAATTCCACATTTGCTGTTAACTGGAACACATTTTAAGTGTCAGAAATTAGTGTCATGTGAAAAAGTCAGGGTTTTTTGTGCTCTGATACATGCCTGTGATATCTCACACTCTCTGCAAGCACAGAAGATGAGCAGGAAGCTGGAGGGAAGTGACAGGCTGCAAACATAAGCATTTTGAAGGCTTTTTAAAACAGTGAAGGAAACTGCATCTGTGAGTCTGAGACCTGCTGATCCGCCAGGGCTCTTCCTCCTGATTCACAGAATCGTAGAATCATTTGAGCTGGAAGGGACCTTAAAGATCCCATCCAGTTTCAGCCCCCCAGCCATGGGCAGGGACACCTTTCCCTAGACCAGGTTACTCAGAGCTCCATCCCACCTGGCCTTAAACACTGCCACAGATGGGGAATTCCTAAATTCTCCAGTCAACCTGTGCCAGTACCTCACCACCCTCACAGTAAAGAATTTTTTCCTAATATTTAATCTAAAACTACTGTCAGTTTCAAGACATTCCCCCATGTCCTGCCATTACACCCTCCTGCAAAAAGTCCCTCTCCATCTTTCTTACATCTTTCTCCTTTTCTAGAAGGACACAATTAGGTCACCTCCATGCCATCTCTCTTCCAGGCTGAACAAAAGCAATCCTTTAAGCCATTCCTTGTAGGAGAGGTGCACCATCCCCCTGATCATATTGGTGGCCTCCTCTGGACTTGCTCCACCAGGTCAATGTCCTTCCTGTGCTGGACCCCAGAGCTGAATGCACCACTCCCATACTGTGTCTGGTGTTATTGAAACAACAAAACCCCAACAAAGGAAATCCCAACCTGTTTCAACCCCAAAACATCAAAAAGGACAATTCTCATTAACACTTTAGCACCAGCGAGGTTTTGATAGCTAGAAAGTAGAGGCACAACCCCACTATGGTGTGGGAGAATCCTTTCCCTTACCTGTCCTTCATCATGCACTTGGTTGGGTGGGCATGTCTTGTTCTCAATATCAGTTGTGTCCCCAAAAGGAGAGTGCTTCCCACAGCAAAGGAACTGCAAGAGAGGGAGGAGTCAGCCAGCTGCTCACCAGGGCTCTCCCCTTTGCTACCAGCTGCTGCAGCAGGAGGTGCTGGCAATGGGCCCCCGCTGCCTCAGGCAGGGCTACCCAACCAGGGTGGCAAGGAGCAAAGCACGTAGGAATCAACAACTGCAGCAATGCAAGCTAAATTCAGGGGAGGTGGATGGATCTGGCCTCAAACTTGTTCATGCTCCCCCAGGACTGCTGCCTGGGAATGGGGCTGAGCCCTTCCTCTGTGGTCATATTTATGCTCCCAGTGGCTGCTCCAGAAAGCCCAGGGATGCAGACTCATGTTTCCAGTAATTGTTATGGGCTGAGGGGATCCTCAGCAACACCCACCCGGGAGCTGGTTTCCTACAGCTGTGGTGCACTGGGCAGTTTGGAGCTCTGGCAGAAGGGGAAAAAAAATAAAAACAGGAGTAGAAAGACTGCTTCTCCATCAATTCAAGTGGCAACTAAAATAAGCAACTGGTGAAGCCAGACATTGTGCCTGGTTCTCCTTGTCAAATGGGACCCTGGGCGTGCTGTTCCACAACCCTGAGAGCAAGCACTTCCATGCCTGGGCTGTGAGGGCCACCACCACCACTGCAAAAAGGAACATTTGACCTCTTCTGTGTTTTGAGAAGCACAGATAGAAATAGCTTTGAAAAGTACTTGTTATGATGATTTAAAAAACACATAAGGATACAGGGAGTTGTGTGGGAGGTGTCTGGAAACAGCTGAGCAGGGCTGACCTCCCCATCCAGCCTTGTATGTGCCATGAACTCACTCCCCAAACAAGCCCTGCTGTGCAAGGGAATGGCATCTCCTTTACTCAGCAGGGATTCGGGAGTTTCTCACTGTGGGGGACATCCTCACTCATCTCCTGTGGCTCTGGGGGCAAGCATCCTCCCTGTGCTCTGGATAACCACCCTTGCCTACCTGCTGAGCTACACAGACCAACAGCATCCTGGGTAGTGGTTTTTGGGAGCCTGATAGCAGTCTCCAGCTCTGTAAGAGGCCATGTAGCCTCCAGTATTCCTCAGACACAAACTTGAGGATAAACAGGGATAACCACGTGCAAATACTACTGCTGGACTATGTGAAATTCCTGCCCCTTCATCTCTACTTGACCAGGTGCACATCCACACTCTTGTACCACAGATAGAGAGCAATTCACAGGGGCTGCTGAGACAGAAAATACTATGGCAGCTGCAGGGCAGAAGCTTTGTAGATCTTGCACCACAGTGATGCTCAGAGAGGTGGCCCTTTGTTCCTGTTGGTAATCTGGTTGGTCAGATATGAGAAAGGAAGAATAAGAAGGGAGGAGCAGACTCCACAGCAGGCTGGAGGATTTATTTTGAGGGAAAACGGCATTGCAGCATTCACGAGACAGAGCACAGGTGTCAGCCCCAGCCTGCCAAAGCCCTCAGGAAGATAGCCCAGAGCAAGGTTTTCTCCTGCAGGTAAAAGACAACTTACTGCTTCATGGATGGCAGTCAGCTCGTGCCTCCTGAAGCTGGAGGTGTTCCTCCTCACCTCTTCGTACACAAAATCATACACATCCATCATACTGTCTTCCACCTGCAATGAAAGCAGAGGTCTGTAGGTACAAAACACTGATCACAGTCATCTCTGGGGGGAATTGTGCTCTTCTTGATTTCCACAGAAGATCTCCCAGGTATAGCAATACAAGTAGTAGCAGCTACTAAAATGACCCCCAGGCAGCAGCAGGGGCTGGTGTGTGACCCACTAGACACTAAGGAGCCAGGGTCTCACCAGCTGATGGCTGGAGCTTTTGGCCAGTTTTGGATTTTGTGTCAGAGATGAACTTGGGTGCCTGTGACCAGTGTGCCTCTGAGTCCCTCTGCCAGCCAGGGCTGATGCCATCTCCACATCCTAAAGGTGGTACTGTGAGGACAGGCACACATGACCATGAGATGCTAGAATACAAAAAGTGAGAGGACCTCAGAGGGTCTGTGTTGTCTAAGTGGCAGAGCCATTTCTCGGAACAGAGTAAAAAAAATAATGAGAGTGATTCAGTGGTGAGTCAGACCCTAAATATTTACCAAATGTGTGAGAACTTGAAGCTTGACAGATCCCAGCCAACTCCCACTTGGGTGTCAGAGGAAAAAAAAATATGACAGTTGCCCTCAGTGCCTGGAGTCAAAACCTCATTTCTTCCTTTCATTTTCCCTTGCTTCCTCAGCAGCACTGGTCCAAGTGGGCCTGCAGTCAGTGCTTGTCTTTCAGGAGGGAAAATCAATGGGAGACAGGCAGAGCAGGTGGCCACCCAGGGATGTCTCTGGGAACAGAGTCACCTCTCAGCGAGGCTCTGCAGCTCAGCCTAAGGGATCACACTCGGAAATTCCTCTAAGGAATAAACCCCAGCACTCTCTGCTCAGGGGTGAAACCAGGATCATTCAAGGTGGTGACATCTATTACTGCAAGATACTGTCCTGCCCAGCTGTCCAAAACACAAGCAACAAACAGAGGGTGATAACCAGGGAGGCGAGGGGGCAGGGGGTTGAGATTATTATTTGTATCCAGATTGGCTCTGTGCCTCCAGGAATAGAGTTTGAAGGCACACATCAAAAGATTTTCCATGGCTATCAACGTGGCATAAGAGAGACCAGTGACAGACAGAGCTCAGATATTATGGGCCAAGAAAAAAAATACTCCATAGCAAAATGTGTGACACTGAGCTGTTCCACACAGGTGAGGAAGGAGGATGCTCCTTTCGTCCCTCTGGGGTATCAGAGTGCATAAAGTGAGGTGGGTGCAACAATAAGACCAGATTTCTAGACAACTTCTGCACCAACCTTCCCCACAGCAAACCTTATAACCCAATAAAAAGGAAAATATCAAAGCTTTTCTAACTTCTTGTGGGCCATGAAATAGCTTTCCAGAAGCAGCAATTAAATAAATGGATTCAATAAAAAGAACGTCCATTTCCACTGAAGAATTAGATTAAGAATAATGAAAAAAAGAATAATCTTCTGAGCTCCTCTTGTGGAGAAAGGAACAAGAGAGCAGCGGGTTTCTTAACCTAAGAGATTATAACCTTTTGAATATCCTGATCCCAGTCTAAGATGTAGGAATAAAAACTATTTTGTGCTGTGACAACATACATATGTGTTTTGGTAAGGGAACCAGTGCACATGCACGATATTTGTCTTTTCATATTTACCATGAGGGATGCTGAGCTTTCATCCAAAAGGCCTAAATTTGGATGACTTAAAAAGAAAAAAATGAAAGGGTTCAAGCAAGTGACTGTGTTCAAGCAAGGGTTCAAGGGGTGAAAGCAATCCAGAAGTTTAACTACTTTCTAAAGATCTCTTGAAATCTGGGCCAAGAAATACTGGGAGAGGTAGCTGTTTGAAGGATAACAGTGGATAGGAAAGAACTGAAGGAACAAGATGCTCATAACAAAACAGTGGCTGAAAATTCTTTCAGCTGTTGGAAACAATAATTGAAAAAAACACAAGCAGTCATAATTTCACAGCCAGCTCAGCTGCAGTGATGGAAATGATGATGGTAATCTCCAGGTACATAACGACTACTAGAGACTTCAACTGCACCATTTCTGAGCTTGCTTGTGAGCTGACTTCTCAGTTACCTACTGATTTTTTTATTCTCATTTTGTCAAGCAGCCTCCAAGAGCTGAAAACACAAGTCATTAAATGGAAAATGTTTAATAGCAATAATTTTCTTTTAGAATGTGTGTCTGGGCAAGCCTAAGAGTACAATTTGCTGATTAGTCATTCTCAGCATTTCTATCTAGCAATTATATCTAGCATTTATATCCAGACATTATCTGAATAGGCTATTCAGATCCTAGTAAGGGAATATCAAACTCTAAATCCATTTTTTAAAGAGTGAATTGCTTGTAGTTCCACCACATCCTCTTTCTAATTTTGGTAGGATCATTTGATTTTGGAGGGAAAAACTGCTGTTTTCATACAACATAATGGTCTGTTTTCAAAGACTACTGCAGACAGCTTTCTCATTTAAATACTTCAGAGGTAGATAGATAGTAGAAAATCTCAGTATTTATCACTCTGTTTCCTTCTGTGCAGAAGACTGTGCCACAGAGCATACAAGATGTCTGATTTAATTAGAGAAGACATAGGAGAGCAAAACATCACACTTAGCTGCCTGGAAGGGGGTTATGTTTATACTCAGAGCTGCAGCCAGGCTCTTAAGCATGGGTCATGGATGGGAGCATTTATCCAGCCTAAAATATCATGCTCATGCATGCCTGATGATGTAAAAATTAAAGCCTGAATGCGTGAGACAGTCACCAGGAGGTTGCATGACTTATTTGCAACATTGCTACATCCAGCAGAAGTTCATCCCCATATTTTCCATTGATCCAGCTACTAGCACAGTGAAGAGCTAGACTGCAGCACTGCTCTGTACTCAATTGCCATCCTCAACAGATTCCTACCACACACTCCCCTGATGGGCAAGTTTGAATCTGTTGCCTCAAGACAATTTTCTTTTTCTTTATCTTACACTGGTTGTTGGGGGAAAAAAATATTAAAAATATTCAGGGTGCTTTCTCTCACGTTTAAGCAACAGGATGATTGTGGAGTTGAGTGCTTACACTGATGCTGTTAATAATGTGCTTTAAGACAAAGAGCTGTACCCCATCACTTAAACAGTACTTAGCATGCAATGGGCCGATACAGCTGGAGAAGAGAAAGTCCATCTGTTTTTGGAAAGGTCTTTCACTCCTCCCACACATAAGCATCATAATAGTCAAGTGGATTTTCCTGTTCCTAGTGACATGCTGTGATCCACTGCTGGAAGAGTTCTGCTGGACAGAGCTCTCCCTTGGAGGGAGACTGAGCCTGCAGTGCTCATCAGTAAGAAACACCATGAGCTGAAGGCAAAGCATCAGCTGGGCTTTGGTTAAGAAAAATGTCCAGCTTGAGTGATATGGAGGTCACACCTTACAGTAATTCTTTTCCTGGAAGAAGGTGGGTGAAATGTTCCAGCTCTAAATCAGGTAAATAATTGCTGCCTTCCACTTCTGTCTGCATTCCTTAATGAAATATTCATTTAGGAATGATATTGATGGGTTGCTGGATACAACAAATGGAAAATCACCACTGAAATGGATGCAGCTGATTCCCACTGACTCAGTAAGTACCATTTTTCACCTCAAGTAAAAGAAAAAAGGAATTTTGAGATTATTTATCATCCTCTAAATCCTTTATCCCCCAAGAAGCAGAATGTATGACTGCAGGAAGACATGTACTCTAAGCAATTAGAGTTCTTGCCTTTGGCTATTAAAACTAAAGCAAATTTCCACCTTACCTCCTTGAAGAGGAAAAATGACATTTTTTACTTAGGTTATTTATCAGGATAAGTTTTACCTGTAACGGATTTGGAACAGAAAGATGAGACAAGGTCTGCCTTCAGTTCCTGATGCCTTTGCAAGCCAAAGATGCCAATGAATCCCAGTCCTGCTGCCATTGAATGCCTCTGTCTGGGCAACCTGGAAGTGTCACTTAGGTGGAAACTAATGTAGACTTGTACCAAGAACAATGGCCTGAGTCTTAGTGATCCACCTTTGCAACTGCTGTTGGGTAAAAATCCCTCTGCAAAGCTCAAGGAGAACATAGTGAAAGGAGATATCAGGATTGTCTCAAAGACAAAACCACCTTCCTCCTTTCCGATAAACAAGAATACTTGGCATGGCAGAGGAGAAAGACAAGCGTGGGAAGCAGGAGGAGGATCCTCCTCTCCTATGATTGGAGATTCCTTTGAGGAATCAAACTGAGCAGATGCACTGCAGGCTCAGAAGAAACTGCAACCTCAGCACTTTGTGTTCTTTCAGCATCACCACAGAGGATGCACTCACCAGCCTCACTCAGAAATGTCCCTCGAGAGGTGGCTACTGCAGACTCCCACATTCAGCTATGAACCACAAGCTAGACAGTTATGAAGTGAAACTGGAATAAAATTGTGAACTCAGTCAAAACCCTTCCTTGTTCCAGGAAGAAAAACACTTCTGCATTTTGCTGTCTCTGTCTTCCCTTTCCTCCCCAGTGTGCAGAAATGCATGCATTCACAGCATGTCAGAAACAGGGGTGGGGGCACATGCAACAGCTTGGGTTTGGGCAAAGCAATGATGCAACTGCAGCGAAACAGAGGAGAGAAAGCCACTCTGGGGGCATTAGCCAGGTTGTAGAGCAACTCCTATCACATGGACCTAACACATGGTAAGACAAGCTTGCCCCATTCATGCTCAACCAAGCCCCATTTAACCAGTCATTGCAGCTTGCTGAATGTTTTTATTTCCATCACTGCATATCAGCTTGAGAGCCTTCCCCTAGCCAGTCATTCCCAAATGCAGAAATCCAGCCAGTGCTGCAAATCAGAGCAGCCTTTGAGGTCTCCCGTGGAAAATGGCACAAGATCAGGTGGTGCTGCTCCCCCTCAGACTGACAGTGGTCACTGGAGACCATGGATGCCACAAGATCTAGATGACACTTTTAGCCAAATGGTTTTCACCTTTTTTCCCCCCAGATTTGTATATACATACAGATTTTGTATCTATCTATACATACATA